GCCGCCGTTCTAGATCCCGTACTCCGCGAACAACTCGGGGCAAACGGTCCTTAACAAGATCTCCTCCAGCTATCCGCAGGCGTTCTGCATCTGGAAGTAGTTCTGATCGCTCACGTTCTGCTACTCCTCCAGCAACAAGAAATCATTCTGGTTCTCGAACGCCCCCGGTAGCACTCAATAGCTCCAGAATGAGCTGCTTCAGTCGTCCTAGCATGTCACCAACTCCTCTCGACCGCTGTAGATCACCTGGAATGCTCGAACCCCTCGGCAACTCTAGAACACCCATGTCTGTCCTCCAGCAAGCTGGTGGTTCCATGATGGATGGTCCAGGTCCTCGCATTCCTGATCACCCAAGAACGTCTGTGCCAGAAAACCATGCTCAGTCTAGAATTGCACTTGCCCTGACGGCCATCAGTCTTGGCACTGCTCGGCCTCCTCCGTCCATGTCTGCAGCTGGCCTTGCTGCAAGAATGTCCCAGGTTCCAGCTCCAGTGCCTCTCATGAGTCTCAGAACAGCCCCAGCTGCCAGCCTTGCCAGCAGGATTCCTGCAGCCTCTGCAGCAGCCATGAACCTGGCCAGTGCCAGAACACCTGCCATCCCAGCAGCAGTGAACCTGGCTGACTCAAGAACACCAGCTGCAGCAGCAGCCATGAACTTGGCCAGCCCCAGAACAGCAGTGGCACCTTCGGCTGTGAACCTCGCTGACCCCCGTACCCCAACAGCCCCAGCTGTGAACCTAGCAGGAGCCAGAACCCCGGCTGCTTTGGCAGCTTTGAGTCTCACGGGCTCTGGCACACCCCCGACAGCTGCAAATTATCCGTCCAGCTCCAGAACACCCCAGGCTCCGGCCCCTGCAAACCTGGTGGGTCCTAGATCTGCACATGCCACAGCACCTGTGAATATTGCCAGCTCCAGAACGCCTCCAGCATTGGCCCCTGCAAACCTCAGTAGTGCTAGAATGGCTCCAGCCTTGTCTGGTGCAAACCTCACCAGCCCCAGGGTGCCTCTCTCTGCCTATGAGCGCATTAGTGGCAGAACCTCACCACCGCTCCTGGACCGAGCCAGGTCTAGAACCCCACCAGGAGGCCCAGGCTCCAGAACCCCACCATCTGCCCCAAGCCAGTCTAGGATGACATCTGAGCGGGCTCCCTCCCCTGCTTCTAGAATGGCCCAGGCTTCACAGTCTGTTCTTCCTCCAGCTCAGGATCGGCCTAGGTCCCCTGTGCCATCTGCTTTTTCTGACCAATCCCGATCTTTGCTTGCCCAGACCACCCCTGTAGCCGGGTCTCAGTCTCTTTCCTCCGGGACGGTGGCAAAAACCACCTCCTCTGCTGGTGACCACAATGGCATGCTCTCTGGCCCTGTCCCTGGGGTGTCCCACCCAGAGGGTGGGCAACCACCTGCCTCTACGGGGGCCCAGCAGCCTTCTGCAGTGGCTGCCCTGCAGCCAGCAAAGGAGCGGCGGAGTTCGTCATCGTCCTCCTCCTCTAGCTCCTCCTCTTCGTCATCGTCATCGTCATCGTCATCCTCCTCTTCCTCTGGGTCCAGTTCTAGCGACTCGGAGGGCTCTAGCCTTCCCACTCAACCTGAGGTAGCACTGAAGAGGTGAGGGGACTTTTAGAATTTGTCTACGGGGAAGGTTTAGGGGATGGTTGGTGGGGGTGGGGAGGGAGAAGCCCTATCCAGAGGTCCTTGGCTCTTTGAGGAGGTATGGGGATCCTGACCCTTAAGTTGGGGTTAGAAGAGAATGCTGGGTGGGGGCAGTGGTGGGGGGAGGGGTGGGACAGATAAAAGTCTCAAAAGGTTAATTCTCTAGAGGATAATGATAAGTTTTCCGTCTCTACAGAGGACAGAACTAGAGGAAATGGACTTAATTTTACAGCAGGAGGGATGGCAGTTAGACCTCAAGAGGAACTCCCTGGGCTGGAAGGATCTTCAGAGGTCATCCTATCCCTCTCCCTGCCTCCAGGCAGGACGGCCCCACCCCCAGCCAACCTTCATGCACAGAGGCCTCCCCAAGCTGCGGCTCTCCTCTCCGAGGAAGGAGACCACCCAGCTCGGCTTCCACACCTGAGCCCAGGGGCCTTATTCCTCCATCAGGGACATTCTTGAGGTTTAACCTTGATCCCTTTTGCTGCGGGCCCCAGCCTGTTGCTTGTGTTAGCAGAGGTTGGGTCAGCTGGGGCCACTGCTCTCCAGAGAATGCAATGCGCTCACCAGCTCCCGGCTTGGAGAGTCCCAGGGCCTTTCTCAGGCACCCCTCCCCCACTGCCGTTCCTCCAGGCCAAGGAAGGTAGGGTTGGGGCTGGGGCAGCTTATCTCCTTGTGACACACTCTTCTCCCACAGGGTCCCTAGCCCCGCCCCAGCCCCAAAGGAGGCTGTTCGAGAAGGACGTCCTCAGGAGCCAACTCCAGCCAAGCGGAAGAGGCGTTCTAGCAGCTCCAGTTCCAGTTCCTCCTCCTCTTCATCATCATCCTCTTCTTCCTCCTCCTCTTCCTCCTCCTCCTCCTCGTCTTCCTCCTCTTCTTCCTCCTCTTCCTCCTCTACTTCTTCTTCCCCTTCCCCTGCTAAGCCTGGTCCTCAGGCCTTGCCCAAACCTGCAAGCCCCAAGAAGCCACCCCCTGGTGAGAGGAGGTGAGTGCTGCCTTGTTTGAGATGGAAGGGTGGGATGTGACCCTGGGGTGTGAGATCCCTGTTGGGCTGTCTTACGTGGACTGTGATGTCTGGTTGTATGGGAGAAGTTGGGCTCTTCTCTCCCTGCTACTCCATTGTGCCCTGTTCTGGCAGAGGGCTGTACCATCCAAGTGAGTGCTCAGGCCAGAATTGGGAGTCATAGGTTTCTTCCTCTCCCTACCCCTAACATGCTCCCATGTTCCAGGGATTCTAGCTTTTAAGTCTCCCTGTTGCTACAGCCAGGCCTCTCTGGTCTGGCCACCATCATCTTCTCCGGACTCTATCCACAGCCTCTTCCCTGTCTCCCTGCCTCCACGCCATTCTCTTCCACACGTAGCCAGAGGGATCTTTCTAAAACGCACATCTGGTTACTCCCTTCACTCCACAAATCCTTCCGGGACGCCCTGTGGCCTGCAGGATAAAGCCCCACCTCTGCGGGAATGGCGTGTGAGGCTCTTCACCAACTGGCCTTGCCTGCCCTGTGTTCTCCTCTCCTGCCCGCCCCCCACACATGCCCTGTGCTCCAGCCACACTCAGCGCCTTGCAGTCTAAGGAGAACCCCATGCCTTTGGACATGCTGTTCCTCCTGCCTGGAATTCCCTTGTCCGCCTGGTGAACTCCTCGTTCTGCAAGACTCCGCTCAAACAGCACCTTCAAGAAGACTACCCTGCCCCTTCCCTGCCCTGCCCCGCCCCATCCCCTCCCCACGTCTCCCTCCCCTGGGTCCCCTGACCCATGTATATCAGTCCTGCGGGGCTGCTTCCCACACACGGGGCCAAGCAAGCCTCCCTTGGCCTGCCTTCAGACTGAGTCCCTCCAAGGGCAGGGACTGTCTTTATCTTTGCCTCCCCCCGCTGCACCCCGTACCCCGCCCGTTCGGGCACTCGGTGGATGGTGTGCGGGCGGATGGGTGAGTGAGCGGACGAAGGTGGGTCTGAGGTTGGCCCCGTGTGGTATGAGGTTTGGTGGTCAGGACCTGGGGTGGTGGTCCTGAGTGCTGGCTGGTGGGTTTGGAAGAGAGCGGCACTATGGGGACCTACTCTGATTCCTAGGTCCCGCAGCCCCCGGAAGCCAATAGACTCTCTTCGGGACTCCCGGTCCCTCAGCTACTCGCCTGCCGAGCGCCGCGGCCCCTCACCCCAGCCCTCGCTACGAGACCAGCAGAGGTAGGGTAGCCAGTGTGTCTCAGTCTGGCCACCACTGACTAATGAATTTTTTGAGGGCCCAGTGTGCCAGGGGTTGGTGGTGCCCTGTACATGGACTCATGTCTGTTGTTCACTGCAGCAACAGCGAGCGGGGTTCCCGGAGAGGCCAGCGTGGGGACAGCCGCTCCCCGGGCCACAAGCGCAGGAGAGAGACACCTAGTCCCCGTGCATCTGCCCGGCACCGGTCCTCCAGGTCTGTCTTAGTCACACTCTAGGGTTGGGCTCCCTTCCTAGAGTTCCAGGCTTGCCTCCGCATTGATAACTCGCTTCTGTTTCAGGTCTCCGTGAATCTTTTTGGGGGAATTCCACCACACCCCAAGTTCTGGAGCCACAGGGAGTGCCCCCTTTCTCCCCAGCAGAGCCGTGGGAGGGGTCCTTGTCTGCCCACCCCCTCCCTGAACCCTGGCAGCATCTTGTGAGGAGGACTCCCTTCTTTCTCTCCCTCTTCCTTTTTTGTTTTTTTTTTTTTTGTTCCTGTGAAATGTTACTCTGTGAGTTTTTCCTGGTTCACATGTTTTGGGGGGTTTGGGGTGGGTGGGAATGAGAATGGGAGTTGTGGGAGGGGAGAATACAGCTTGGAACTCCCAGCTCTTGAGTTAGAAAGGGCCTGGGAAACACTGCCCCCCTTTTATCCCCAAGTTTCTGGGGGGGAAATGAAGGTTTGGGTCTTGGGAACCTGAGTGAGGTATTCCTGGAAGGGGCAGGAGTTGAAATTAGTTGGCCTTTCCTGGCCTCCCAGTGAGGTTGTGGCCCCCTCCCCCCAACTTTTCTTCACGTTTCTTAAAGGCATTTTGGTTTTTTAAAATCTGTACAGCAAGAGCAACTTTTTCTGTCAAATAAAAATGAGAAATGCAGGAACTGGGTCTACAGACTGTTTATTGAGGGAGGAGCCACTTGGGGTGGCTCTAGGCTATGGATTCCCGCAGAACCCTCTCCCAAATTGACGCTGGCTTTCTAGCTGATAACCAGCATGCTGGGAGGGGACCACTCTGAAGGCTGGCCTGAAGGATAGGATAGCTGGATCCAGAGAGCTTGTCCAGAAGGCCAGCCTGGTAAGCCTGAGGAGTGGGCTGTAGTGGGTCCCACCCCAGTGAGGGTGTGCAGAAAGAGGCAGCAACCAGGCAGACACCCAAATCTTTTTATTGGGGGAGAAGTGGGGGCGCTGCGGCGGCCCACTCACTGCACAGCTTGTTCATTGGCGCTGCTTCCCGAGTCCTGTGGCTTCATCACGTCCGGCAGCTCAGGGGGGCTAGAGAAGGGCTCAATGCGCAGGGCCTCAAAAGCATCATCTGGTGGAGAGGAAAGTAGAGAGCTCGAGGAGGGGTGGCCACTACAAAGGACCAACCTGACCCTGCTCCCTTCCCCCATCCTGGGGCCCTTCTCACCCTCTGCTTCCCTCAGTGAGCCTCTGGGCTGACCTGCATCCACCTACAATCTCCCCAAATCTCCCCCTCCTTGCTCCCTTAACACCTCTTATTCCTCCCCTAAATAGCTTCCCATTGTAATTTGAAGAAAAATCTCAAGTTCATGCCATTACATCTCTCCACCTGTCCTTGTGCTCCCCATGTTCCCACATCAAGTTCTTTTCCTGCCTCAGGGCCTTTGGTGGTCCCTAGCCTGCCACTCAGAATGACTGGCTGTTCTGGGCATCCAGGGGCACTCAAATATCACCTCTTCAGAGATGCCTTCCCCAGTCACTCTACGTTACACTACTACCCCACCCGTTTTGACCAGCTGCTTTCCTCACTGAACAGTAGCCCCAGGAAGACTTTTTCCTGTCTTGTTTCTGCTGTCACCTCAGCACAAAGCAAATGAACGCTATAACTTTTCTATTGTACTTCTACCTGGGAAACTCTCGACCTGACTTGGATTTCAACTGATTAGATTGCCCAGGGAGGAAGCTAGTCATGTCTGAGGACAGTTTTAACTGTCCTAACTTCTGGGGATCGGGGGCACTGCAACTGGCATCTAGTGAGTAGGTGGCCACCTTTGGTAGTGGCAGAGATGCTAAATAATCCTGCAATGCACAAGACAATCTCACCCAGGATTATCTGGTTCCAAATGTCAAACAATGCTGAAGTTAAGACACCAAGGCCAGCTTAATCACTAATTCATCTTCCAAACCACACATCTGCAATGACAACTCTTGCCTTCATCACCTCTCTCCATTCTTAGGAAAGTCCAGATGATGCCATTTAACACCTGACACTGTCATCTCCCTAACTAAGCAACCATTTTGGGGGTGGGGAGAGAGACCTGTCTCACCTTTACTGGAGCTGCAAAAGGAAACAAACCAGAAGTGTGTTTTTGCAAGTGGAAGTAGCCTGTGAGGGAAGCAAAGAACAGCCAGTCCACAGTCCACACTGCAGCCCCATAGGTGATGCCACCTGGGATCTAGTCACCACCACAACCTACGCTATAGCGTTGTCATGAGGAAAAAATAATCACCTGCAAGTCTACAGGGTGATTTTGTTCAAGTCAGAGAGGGGTACTTTGGGAGAATGCAGCCTGGCCTTGGCTTAGAATGAGATGTGCCTTCAGCCCTCGCCTGCCTGCCTCAGAAGGGCAGCCCTGTACAGCACCCAACCTGTAATCTGTACGAAGTCTGTACCAGTCCTGCACCTGCCTCAGCGTCACTGTGAGGGTTGAGGGAACCCATGTAAAGGCCCCTAAAAGGTTTCCTTTTCCTGAGCACTTGCAGGTGTACAGAGGCTCACGCTGCCTCGCTATGAGGCCAGTCCTTTACAGAGAGGGGCATGAAGTGAAGTAGCTGCCCCGGGACACAGCTGCTAAGGCCTCACAGTTACCCTTTTGTAACTGAAAAGAGTGGCTAAGGCTGTATGCTCTACTGAACCCTCAATACATTTTCTTACTGTAAGTCAGAAAAACAACTCCTTGTAACTTTATCCAAGTCTACTCAGCTATTCACACAGCCCCTGCCTGGGTCCACAGCTGTGGAAATTCCGTACAACCCCTTTTTAAATTTCCAGAGACAAAGAGAAAATTAAAATTATTTTTCTTGGGAAAAGGAGGTACACTGGAGGGAAATAAACCACCTCTACCCCTCAGGGTTTTAAACTTTGGGCAGGGTGGCGTGTGGTTGATGAGAATACAAGCTCTAGGGCACAAAGGGGCTGAACCTGATCTAACCTCCCAAGGCTCAACTTCCCTATCCTTAAAATGTTCATAACACAAGTCTGGCCTGTACAGGGATGCTGCCGAAATGCATCATGGAGACAGTGGCTGGCACAGTGCACAGCTCAGGCGAAGTCCTGGCAGCCTGCATCTGAACCGCGGCTCCCCGACATGACTGCCAGCAAGCCTCGGTGTCTGTGTCTCCAAAATAGGGAGGAAAGTGCTTGCCTCTCGTGTTATCAAGAGGATTAGATGGGACAAGGGAAATAAAATGCAGAGCGTAGGGCCAGGTGATAGTCAAGAAGTTCTCTGTAAATGGAAGCTGGTACTGTGACTAGGGACCATTGAATCTTCCATGAAAAAGGCTTCAAGATCTACAAGAATCTCATTGTGGTTCTCGTTTCTAATGGGGAAACAAACACTATCACAAGATAATGCCTGCACTTTGTGGACTGTGGGAGACACTGTTCACCAGGCTTAGAGGAACAACTGCAGCCTCCCTGACAACCCCTTTCTTTGGCCATCTCCGCCTGGCCGCGGCCTCCTCACCTGCCCGGAAGGCTAGCCCCACAGTGGCTGGGGCCTGCGGCCGAGCCGTCTGGCTGGTGAAGCCACACTCGCCCAATGTCTTGCTGTCGTCCAAAAGCTGGTCGTCCTGAGGAGAAAGGCAAGCAGGGTCTCAAGAGAGGACCCAGGAGGGGCCAGACCCAAAGACTTCTCTATTCTCTGGTCAGCAACTATACTGAAAGTCAGAAGAGAGACAAACCCCAAGTAGGACCCAGAACCAACTCAGAGTATATCAAAGACAGTTTTGAGCTACACCCAAAACTTCCCAAATCAGAACCTCCTAGGATAGGGCTCCAGAGTCCGATTTTTTCCTCTCCAAATTCCAGGTGAAACTAATTTCAACTGTCAGTGACCCAATCTGGCCACAGGCAAACCTCGTTGACTATCAGCTCTGTCATCTCGGATAAAGTGTTTTCTCCCCCCAACAGGGGCACTGGGGATTGAACCCAGGACTTTGTGCATGCCAAGCCCACGCTCTACCACTGAGCTATACTCCCTATCCCCTGGTTGATCTTTCTGATGTGAAGTTTTCCTATCTGCAAGATGGGAATTACTGGAATTCACAACTCACAGAGAAACCAGGTATCAATGAGCAAAGGACACAGAAAGCACAAGGGTTAGATGGTGGTGGTACGGGTCAGTGCCTGGGGTGCACGAGGTCCTGAGTTCAATCCCCGGTTAAGGGGAAAAGTAAGTAAATAAAAAAGAAAGCACAGCAAGTGGAACGAGCTCAGGCAGCAGGAAGGGTCCTAAACACCGAAGCCCCAGTAGGTTTCAAGAAGGAAAGATCTTTAGAGACAAAGAAAGTGAAGACTAAGTCTGGAGCGAAAGACCAATTTCCCAGTTTCCAGCCCGAATCAGATCAATGCACTTAAGTAAGGGACCTCGTGCTGCCAGAGGCCTGAATGAGGGGATGACACGCCGGATTCCCCAATGAAAACACCAAACCCCAAACCATCCTTGAATAATTGCAATTGGTTTTTAAGGAGGAAACGGAGGGCTTTTAGAACATGAGAAGATTAGAGAGTAATAAACAGCTTGTTGGGTGAAAAAGTGGTGGGACCTGACTCATCTTGATCAACACTATTTCTTTGTATTAAGGAGTGGGGTGGGGTGATGGTGGCATGGTGTGTAATGGGCTTGCAGAGGATTACGGGCATCGGGGTTCAAATCCTAACTCTGCTAATGACCTTGGGCTAGTTAAGTGGCCAACCCTGAGTCTCAGTTTCCTTAATCGCGGAGCAGGGATGTCAAGAGCCTGCACGTTGCGGGTGGGGCCGCTGTAGATTAGATGCGACGCTGGCCCTCGGCGTTCAGCAGCCTGGCGCGCGAATTTAAAGTCATCCTAATCGAGACCCCCCGTACAGCGAGCGCTCTCGGGGCTTCATCGCCCCGAGTACGAGCAACGGCCCTACGCGGGGGAGTTCCGGCCCGCGGCCGCCGCTGTTTACTTCAACGACGCGGCCGCCGTGTGCCCACAGCTAGGCTCGGGCGGCTGTTCCCGGCCCCTGGACGCCCGGAATCGGCCAGACCGCACCTTGTACAGCCGCTGCTCGTCCGGCGGCCGCTTGAGGATGCCCTCGACGATGCGCTTCAGCTCAAACACGGTGCTCGACTCCTTGGCGTCAGTGAAGATGGTGGTTTTGTGGTGCCGGATCATGAGAAACACATCCTGGGGGCGGCAGGCCGGTGTGAGCTTGGAGCCCAAGCTCCCCACCAACGCGGCCCGCCACCCCTGGCCCCGGCCCGGCGCCCCTCTCCCCGCGCCCGCTCACCATCGCGGCGGCTGCCTTTCCCCCTCGACGCGCCGGCGCAGCCGCGCTCCGCCCCGTTCCGGCAACCCTCGCGCCGGCCCCCAGCATGCCCCGCGGCCGGCGGCCCCTCCCCGCGGCTGCCATTTTAAGTAATCGGCAAGTGGGGGCGCTCCTGCTGAGCGTCCGGCCGCCATCTCCGCGCCGTGGGGCGGGGCAGTTCCGGTTGGCGGAGTGGCTGAGCTGGTGGAAATCCGGAAAGGACCGAACGCAGGCGGGACGCAGGAGGCGACGGCGCCATCTTGGGGGTGGCAAAAGCGACGTCCCCATGTTGATGCAGTCATGGGGAGGCCGGGCCGCAGGCCCCATCGTTCTTTTGGGGACATCGGGGTTAACTTCGCCAGCTCAGGGTACCTCACACTCCCAGAGAGAGTGAATGAATGATGTGTGTCTTAGTCGTCGGGACGGCAAGACATTCGCATCTCAGAGACACCTGGGCTGCTATGCTGGGGCGTCTGACTCATGGTTATGGGTCTCCCTGGCGGCCATTTTGAGGAGGTGTTAATTCTGGTTCTTTCGGCCACCGTATCGGAGAACTGTCCCCGTTTCCCCGTCGTAGTAAGGATTATTTAATCCAGTTGAGAGGCTTTGTGGCGCGGCTGTTGGGGTTAGGGAGTGGGCCTGGCCAACATCCTTGGAAGAAGCAGCATGCGTGACTAGAGTGGGTGCTCGCGTTTCCCAGGAGGAGGAAGGGAGAGCCCCCTGACCCCTGGGGCCCTGGGCACTCGCCAGCTTCCGTGCCCTGGTCCTTGGCCCTGGCTGCCCTCTACAGGGGCATCCATACTAACAACTTAGGCCTTCCATGTTGGTAGTTGGACGCTCTCCTGTGTCGCCCCAAATTGCAGTTACACCAGAGTGAGGAAAGGAGGCTTTTCTCCCAACTACTGGCCGGGAGAGGGAGAGCGTCAGCTGGGTAATTGCTGGTGTGTGCCAGAGAAGGCTTGTGCGTGGCACCAGGCGAGAGATGAGCCAGCGGGTGACTCTGGACTCCGAACAGCTCTTTACTTGTTGGGGCCACAATTTGAGAATTCTTCAGAGTGGGTAGAATCTGAAGATGCTGCCGCTTTAGCCCTTAATCAAGCTGGTGGCTAACCGTGTGCGCTCTGTGCTGAGACCTTCTGGGATTCAAATCCATGCTCTGCGCTGACTATGCAGCCCAGGGTGGTTAACCTCACCAAGGCTCAGTTTCCTCCTCTTTAAGACTGGAATATAACCGTTTGTAAAGTTTGTGGAGCCTCACTGTAAGCAGATAGGGTAGGAGGCGCCTGGAGAAAGAGAACCAGGCATGGCTTTCTTGACAGAAGAGAAGCCATTTTTGGCCTATGCCATTTTGTCATCTAAGCCTGGCCTCAGTGCCCCTGCATGAATATGCATGTACCCTTAGTTTAAATCTTCCCCAGTTTTGCTGTTTGGAGAGACATTGCTTTGGGAAAGATCCTTGGTGTTCTTAACTTGTTGCAAGTAAATCCTTCCTTCACCTGATCTTTGGCTTGGTTGTATCTTTTGGTTCGACAGCCACCAAGAGGTGAGCCCAGTTTTTGGGTAACACCACTAAGAGTTAGCACTCAATAAATGTTTCCTAAGCTAGAGCTATCGGCATTATTTTTGACTGCCAGCCTTTGACTCCTCAGGAGTCCACTGAAGTCCCTTTCCCTCCTGTGATTTCCCTCCCTGAGCTCAAGGCAGCCCTTCCCCTCAGAAGGGATCTCTGTGCACCCCATGGTGCTCTCCACTTGGGTCAATTGCAGGAGGTGACTGCAGGCCTCCACGTCTTTCAGTACAGTGACACCTCCTGCAGCTCGAATGGGGTCAGGAGAGGTCTGAGGGAGGAGCAGGGGCTGAGCTCCCAGCACTTGGCTCTGTGGTCTAGCTTGGTGCAGGCTCTCCTTCCTGGGAACCTTGACAGACAGAATGGGAGTCTCAAGATGGTGGGTGAGCCAGCTGGTCAGCTGCTCCTGCTTCTCTGCACAGGAAATCCTCCTGGGCCCTTTCTGTCCCATTGCCTTAATCACCCGACGCTCACGATGGAGTCCCTCCCCGGCCTCCAGGCTTAGCCTATTGGGTCTCAGCATTGTGAGCCTTCTCCTCTGGTCTACTAAAAGCACTGAAGAATAAAGAGTAATAATCAATGACCACTAGTCACTAGTGTACCTCTCATTTGTAGTATTTTACAACTACTTTCATTTCCATCAGGGAAGTGACATAACTCAGTGTGGAACTGGAGTCAGTCACCCAGATTCAAATCCGGTTCCACCTCTTACCTGCTGTGGGTCTTAGGGCAAGTTACCTAGCCTCTCTAGGCTTGTCTCTTCATTCATGAAATGGGAAATGAGACCACTTCATGGGCGTTCGGAGATTAACTGAAAGCCCACCTGTGCCTGGCGAAGCATACATGCTCTGTGGGCAGCACTGAGTCATCTCCACTCTCCCTACAGCCATGATGGGGTAGGTGTTACCAGTTCAGATTATAGATGGGGAAACTGAGGCCTTGTCAGTACTCCTGGGAGAGGCTGGGCCATCTGGTTGCAGCACTAGCAACTGGAGCAGGTGAGCAGTTAGAAAATGCCTGCTTGGATAGAAGCCCAGTGTCCTCAAGGACTACCCTTTCCGCCCCAGGGGCTCCCTTGTGGCAGATCAGGCAGCTGTCCTAAGGCCAGGGACAGGATGCCACTGATGCAGACCCAGGACACTCCTCCCACCTCCCAGCCCCACCACTGACCTTGCTAACAGGCAGGATGCAGCAGCACAGGGTGCCATGCCACTGAGCCTGCTGGGCAGAGGACAGCTGCGACTTGTCTGACCCCATGAGGCTGCCACACCACGAATGGGCCGATAGGAGGGGGGCCTGGAGGCCGCACTGCTAAGGCGGGAAGAAATGGAGAGAACAAGGGGGCGGGGGGTAATTCCCTCTCTACCGCTACCAGCTGCCTCCAGAATTAGACCACCTGGGTTCGAATCCCAGTCTACCCATCTACCAGCTGTGTGACTTTGGGCCTCAGTTTTCTCATCTGACCAATGGGGAAAGCCCACCTCACAGAGTATCAAGTGAAAATCCTGTGAGCTGGTGCAGTAGAGGCCTCCGAATGCTGTCTGGGGAGGGCTTGACGAGAAGTAGCTGATTTCTTCTCATTCCTTTCCATGGGCAGTCCCTGCCCCTCTGCTTCTAGGACGCCCCTGCTTAGCTTCCAGGTTATGTTTCAGAAACACTGGGCTCTAAATGGGAACCCATTCCTCTAATCATGGTAGGTTCAAGGATGAGGCAACCTGGCTCTCAGCTCCTGGCTTGTTCTGGTCTCAGTGCCTTGGGAGGTGTCTTGAGGGAGGTCTCTCAGCGGGCCCCAAGCTGAGGGAGGGATGGGAGGACAGCCAGCATCACCCAGCAGGGGCTACCAGGGTCCTGCAGCAGATATGCCCACAGCCACAGCCACACCCCGTTCCGGGTACCCTGATGCCCGATAACCCCCCGCCTGCCAAGGGGCAGCCAAGCTCTACTACCCCAGATAGATGCCCACCCTCAGCCTGGGAGAGACAGCAGCCTGGAGCCCCCTCAATGCCCATCCATAGTCCCAGCCTCCCAGCCTGGCCTGGTCGGCAGCCACCACCTGGTACAGCCACTTTCTTCCCTGGGAGAAAGGGTGGGAGAGGACACCGAGGCCTGTGTTGGTGGGCAGCTGCACGTGGTCTTGTCCAGCCAGGTTGTGCCTTTGATGACGGCCTCTCCTGTTCCCCCTCCCCCGCGGCCCCTGTCAGCTCCAAGGTAAGGCTTTGGAATTTCCAGCTTTCGTTCAGGTTCTTGTTCCTTCTGCTCTTCTAGAAACTGAGCTCTGTCTATAGCATGGCTGTTCCTTGGTCTGGGGATGAGAGGGTGGCAGAGAGGGGATATGACACCAGCTCCCAGGCACATGAGGGTGGTCAGGGAACTGCAAAGGGCCTAGACTGGTCTCCAGATGCAGCTGGGGAAAGAGGGGTTCTGGGCCTAGGGGCCTGGCCAAGGCTAGGACGTAGCCCCAGACTCTCTAGGGCATGGGTTGGGTAGTGACGGAAAACACAAGGATAGCAGAAGCTATGGCCAGGCCTACCTGAGGGGCTTCTGGATCCTCTGGGCAGAAGGCATGATGCCAGGTGCCCAGACTCCTGAGCCTCTTAGAGTACACGGGACGGCCAGGCCTGGTGGCCAGCCACCTACCTCCCAGGGCACCTCCACTACAGCAGGGCAAAATACGCATTTTCTATTGCTCTCTAACAGATGACTACCAGTATAGCAGCTTACATAACACAAATTTATTAAATCACAACTCTGTGGGTGGGCTCCGCTGGGTTCTCTGCTTAGGGTGTCACCAGGCTGAAATCAAAGCCTTAGCCTGTCAGGACTCTTATCTGGAGGCCAGGGGAAGAGTTCACCTCCAAGCTTGTTCAGGTGATTGGCTGGGTTTGGTTCCTTGCAGCTGTGGCGCTAAGGGCTCCCTTTCCCTGCTGGCAGTCAGCTGAGGGCTGTCCTCAGCTCCCTGCCACATGACCCCACCATCTTCAGAGCTAGTAATGGAGAATCATCTCCTTGGTGATGAATCCCTCTCCCATGTGAATCCCCCTGACTTCCTCCAGAAAAGAGGGGCACACAGACCAGACCAAGTACCAACTCACTTGCCAGTCTTTGGGTACCCTGGTCAGAGCTGAGAAGAGTAAATATGAGCAGGAAGTAGAGGAAGGGAGTGTGAGACTCCCGGACATACGGGAGGCTCTTGGAGGAGGGTTGACAGCTCCAGTTTGGTGCACCCCAAGGAGGAGGTGGGGGATGGATGGGTGGATGGCCTTTTAGCTTTATCAAGCCTCTGAGCCTGAAGTCAGAAGGGCCAGGGATGAGGAAGGGGATGTGCAGATCCCCAGAGGGACCAGGCAGCTGAGGGACCCCCAGTGTCTGGTTTCAGGCCAGTATCACTGCATCAGAGGCTGAGGCGAGCCTGAATCCAGGGGCTGTAAGTGGCCACATTGGTATAGACACCTGGACGGTTGGGCAGGGCACAGCCCTTGCCCCAGCTCACCACACCCACCAGGACCCAGCGCCCAGACTTCACGCAGGTCAGGGGTCCTCCAGAATCACCCTGTGGGAGGAAGTAGAGTTTAGGTCCCAGCCCTCCAGGGACTTTGAATAACAGTCCCAGGGCTTCAGTCCCTCAGGTGGTGCCTCGGGGTTGGGGTCCAGGACACTGAGCCTGAAAGTGGTTCTAGGGAGGCAGGGTGCTGGCTACAAGGAGCACGAACTCTAAAGGTTCCTGGCAGCTTCTCGCACCTGGCAGGCATCCTTATGGCCCTCGACGTAGCCAGCACACAGACTCCCTGGCAGCACTATGTGCTCGCCACGGGGCACGTTGGTGCCCTTGTGGTATAGGCGGTCACAGGTGTGAGCATCCAGGAGTGGCACCCTTACTCCCTGCAGAGGTCGCCACCCTGGGAGTGGCACTGGAGAAGAAAGCAGACTTCAAAGAGCTGGGAAAGGGTGAGGCGGAAACCAGAGAGTCTGACCGGCCAGGCCAGGACTCCCTGGGCTGACTGGGAGGACATTTGGGTCCCTGGAGGTCGTGCTGGGTCCTGGATTGGGGCAGTGAGGGAGTTGGGATTCCTGGTCAGAGAGATGAAGAGAGATCGCCTGTCCCTCCCCTGAAGCCCCCGTGCCCCGCCTTCTTGCTCACCTCCCGGGTGGAGGCTGCCCCAGCCAGTGACCCAGCATGGTGTGCCAGGTGGTGTCCGAGTCCCAGGCTCCGGCAGGCAGACGGGCTGGACTCGGGCGCTCAAGGGCACTGGGCGGCGCAGCTGCAGCAGCGCCAGGTCGCCCCGAGCCCCGTCCTCCGAGTAGTCCGGGGGCAGCAGCACCCTCCGCACAGGCGCCAAGAGAGCGCGGGGTGAGGCGGGACCCAGGTGCAGCTCCCCAAGGCGCACGCGGTACTGCGACGGCAGCGCCCTCCTGCGGGACAAGAGCGGAGGTACAGCCGCCCCTCCTCCATCCCGAGGAGGGCCTCAGTCTCCGCCTCCGACTCACTCAGAGCCTGGGGACCACGCCTCCACCAAGTGGTGCCCCGCTTTCCCTGGGCCTGGCTCCCCCAACCCTCTACGCTGAGCCCTCAGAGAGTAGGGGAGTGCCCCTCGTCCGAGCCTGGTCGGCCTACTAACCTCGGGAAGCAGTGTGCCGCCGTCAGCACCCACTGGGGGGCTATGAGCGAGCCCCCGCACACGTGTGCGCCGCGGTGCTGGATGCTCGCCTGCCAAGGCCACTCTCCGTCTCGGGCGTCTCGGCCCCCCACGATTCGACTTGAAACACGAGGCTGCCCGCAGGCTGGGAGAGGACATGGGGGACGCCGAGGGTGGGTAGAGGAGTGGGAGTCTGGAAGGCGGGTGGGGGCGGGGAGACACAGGACCAAGGTTAAGGGGGGGTTGGCACCAGGGCACTCTGAGGCTTCCTTACCTGCAGACGCCAGTGTCCCAGCAGTTCCTGGAGGAGGAAGCAGGAAAGGGACGGGATTAAGGGTTTGGTGTCAGATAACGAGGTGAGCAGGAGGGAGGTCAGAGATTAGGAAGGAGGGTGGAACCCTATATATGTTCCACTGACCCGATGCCAGGCTTTTGTGCAGTCAGTTACCCGGTTAAACCCTCCGCAGAGTACTGTGAGTTGAGGACTTACACCCATTACACAGATGAGCACATCCGGATTTGGAGAGCCCAAGGTCAGTGATAGAACTTGAACACTTGGATCCAGGAGTAGGACACCTTAGAGTGCTCTAGGGGAACCAGGAAAGATGGGACAGATGCAAACCAAAGTTCCTGTGGTCAGCACCCCTCGCCCCTGCCCACCACTCACCCTGGAGCAGTAGGAGTAGGACCTGGAAGTAGGAAGCTCGCCTCATTCTGTCTTCAGGGCTGCGCCAGGTAGGGGTGGTACTGCCTGGGGCTTGCCCTCTGGTTGAAGCCTGCAGAGAGTGGAGAGGAGAGTCCTAGCCTAGGTCACTAGCCCCCAACCCCTACCAGACCCCAGACCCTTTAACCCCTGGTTGGTCCCAGACCTGTCCCTGTGGCCCAGCTCTGCCCTCTGCCCAGACTGCCCCGAAAGATCACCCCTGCCCCCTAAATGCTGCTTGATTTGGGCACCATTGGTGCCATACAAGCCCTGGTGCCCAGCCCCTCCCCCACCACGTATTTCCACCACCTGACAGCTGCTCCTGACCCCCTGGCAGCCCCTAACTCTACTCTCACCCTCCGCAGCTGGTGTCCTCCCTGCTGACTGCCCTGGGGGAGGACCTGGGGGCTTAAAGAGCCAGGGGTGGGTGGGGGCCTGGCCAGGGGATAATTAAGGAGGTCAGGGCGGGGCTGCGGCTTCAGCAGTCCCAGCCTGGAACAAAGATGCTTTGAACAGTGATTTTGAGGTGGCAGGAAAGGGACACCTGGGTTTCTCCAAGGAAGCTTGGCTTGGGCCACAGTGCTGAGAACTGGGGGCAGGAGCCTGGGCCCAGCCTGGCAAAGGCAGGGGTGGAGGTTGGGGGTTGTCGTGGTCAGGCCAGGAAGCTCGGGAGGAACCTTGGCAGCTCATCTCCAAAACCAGTCCTGGCTCTGGGCTTCTATTGTTCTGTCCAGGAGCCCAGTCTCCCATCCCTGGCCATGCATAGCTCCTCCTGGCCTGGGTCTGCAGAGTTTGGGAGCAGGAATGAATGGCTTGTTCAAAGCTGGCCTCTCTCCTCACTTGACCAGAGGTGGGAGCAGACTTGACCTTGGGAAACAGTCTGCTCTTCAGTTTGGGGTGTCCAGACAGCAAGACTGCCAGTCTCTGTTGAGGTGGGGAAATGCTAGGGACAGGGCTCAGTGGTGGTCAGGGTCTGGACTGTGCCCACCTCCTGGAAAGTTCTGGAACCTCCTTCTATCAAGTTGATACTCCTCGAGCAGCCTTCCACTTGGTTCCTCCTCCTGGGGGTCCTTCCTGCCCACCACACTTCCTCCTCAGCCATGTCACCATGTGAATTGACAGGGGATAGAGGCAGTTTGATCTGCATCTGTCTGGGGACTGGGTCTCTGTCGATGTCTTAGCTCAGACAGCCAGAACAGAATACCGCAGACTGGGTGGCTTCAACACAGTTGATTTCTCACAGGTCTGGAGGCTGGAAGTCCAAGGACAGGGTCCTGGCAAGATGGGTTTCATTCTGAGGCCTCTCCTCTTGGCTTGTAGGTGGCTTTCATCTCACTGTGTGATCACATGGCCTCCTGTTTGTGTCTGCCCTGGGTGGGGAGTAGAGGGGGGCTGGCTGGTGTCTCCTCTTAGAAGGACACTAATCCTAGTAGATCAGAGCCCACCCTTATGACTTCATGTAACCTTAATTACCTCCACGAATGGCTTATCTCCAAAAACAGTCAAACTGGGGAGGCGGGTGGTTAAGGCTTCAACATATGAATTTTGGAGAAGACACAGATTCAGTCTCTAGTGGTCCTCAGTGGCCAGAACAGTGCCCAGCAGAGAGTGGGCACTGAGTATTTGGGAGTGGCTGAAAGGGGCCAGCAGGGCATCAGGCTGGGGGTGAGGGTGAAGGTTACTGATGAGGGGACATAGTGGCGAGCCAGCCGCAGCCCCTCCACACGTAGTGAGGGAAGGCAGCCTCAGGAGCCATTTCTGCAGTGTGACCTCTACTGTCCATGCTCGGTCTCTGGAGCCGGGTTGCGGCCACCCTTCCTCCAGCTCTGAGACCTTGGGGGATTTTCCTCTTCTGTAAAACCCACCTCCTGGCTAATGGTGAAGATTAACTGGGTTCACCTATGCAGAGCTTGGACTCGTGCCTGGCTACTGTGACTGCTACAGAAGGGCTACAGGAATAAAAGCACCCTCTCATCCTTCCCGAAGCTTCTGAGCTTTTGTTTCCTGCATTCAGCTTCCATTAGAGGGCTTGGCAGGAGTGGAGCCAGGTTGGTGGTGTTCCCTTTGGTGCACAGTTGGAGGCAGCTGGAGAGGCTGGTGGGAATGGGAGCGACAAGGGACCCTGGGAACACAGCCATCTCTCGGGACATGGACCAAACATTGAGAGGGGAGTTCGCTGGAAGGCTAGATGCCCTGTTCAGCAGGGGAGCTGGGTCTCTACCTGCTGGGATTTGGGTGAGGCAGGAAGGCTTCAGGACACTTGGGGGCATGGATGAGGAAATAAATTGCCACTGAGAAATTGGCTTAGGGTGGGAGGATCTGGAACTGGCTGAATAATGGACAGTCAAACCTGAGGGGACTAAGAAAGGAACACCTTTCCAGGGGTTCACCCAAAACCATGCCCCTGTCTCAGAATGAGAAACTGAGGCACAGACCCCTGCTGAGCCCCCATACCCTTTAGCCTCACCCTTGAGTCACACTGCAGAAAAGGCTCCTGGGCAAATGTCATCTACTTGCCCTTCTCACAACCACCCTTCTTGGGGCCACAGCTGAGTCAGCCCCACCTTTTCTCTGGTGCCAGATCTGCCCCTACTCCCAGAGGTAGGCAATTGGCCCAAACTGGGGCCGTCAACCCATCATGTCCCCCAGGTCACAGTGATTGGTCAAGAGGTGACACGTCACTCCAAACCAGCCAATCAGAATTCTTCCCTGGGATTTTTTTTTTTTTACCCTGGAGGGGGAGAGAAAACCTCTCAGGGCCCAGGCAGGGGGCAGGCATAGCTGTCCACAGATGAGGACTCTCAGCTGGCCCGAGAGCCTGGAAGCTTCCAGGCTGAGAAAGAGTGTCCTGTGGAGTTGGAGCTCCTCCTTCTAGTCATCCTTGCCTCTGTGGGCTGCCCTTTATCCTTCTAAAGCAACTTCCCTTCACTCACACTAGCTCTAGGGGATTCTGTTGCTTATGACCAAAGGGTTTAAATGCCAAGACTGAAAACAAAAGAACAAAATAATAGTTCAACAAAGGTGGAAAGGACATACACCCACCCCCTCTTAGCTGGCCACCTTGCCTGAGTGTGTATCAGTTTGGCAGTGCCCAGCCCACTGTCTACAGCATAGGACTCATCTCAGACAACCAAGGGCACCCTGTAGACCTGGCAGCAGGAGGAGGTAGGAGGGGGTGTCCTGGGGAGAGCAGGCAGCAGCAGCTTTTCCAGGATGCGGCTGGTGTGCTCGCTGGTGTCACAGCAGATCCTGGGCCCTTTGGGACAGCCACAGCTTGAACCCAAACCACGCTGACCCACTGACCCACTAGGGGTCATCCAAAGCAGCCTGAGGGACAAAGGTGTGGGGGTGAGCCAGGCCACCAGGGTAGGGGGTGTGCTGCAGCACCTGATGGGGGTCCTCCTGAGCCTCTGGATAGGTGGCCCTGCAAGACCCTGTGGGGGACATCTGCCAGGGCGAGCTCAAAGACGTTCCTGTGGATGAGTATGCCACACAAGCACTGGGCCACCAGAGGCTACTCTGCCTGCTGCTGGAGAAGGAGCAGTGACAATCCTGCCAGGTAGCCCTGTAGGGCCAGTGTCACAGGGTGGCTGGTCTGGAGCCAAGCGCTTAATAGGCATTAAATAGCACTGTCCTCCAGTAACATAGGGGACACCAGGGCAGTAAGTGCTCTGCTTGGGGTCAACTCGGAGAGCCTCTGGGGGAGGCGAGCAGGGCCGCCTTCAGGTTTTGGCTGCTGGGGAGGGCAAGTGGAAATCTCAAAGCAGGCAAGTCCCACAGGATACTGGGGAGACCCCACCCCCAGAGGATCTGCTGGCTCCTCCGAGTCAGACCTGGACAGGTCCACGTGCTGTAAGAGGTGGACATAGGCCCTTGTGAGCTGGGTGATTTGAGTGACCCTGTCACCTCCCTGAGCCTCAGTTTCCTCACTATGACTAGGGGGAAGGGAAGCTCCAGCCTCACAGGGCTGCCCAGGGGTATGAAGTCCAAGCAGGGTGTCTGGCAGCCTGGGCTGCTCTTGGGGTTGGGAGGCGCAGAGGTGAGGGGGGCACCACTCCCAAGACTCCCTCCCAACCTCTCCACAGTGGGGCGGGGAGCGAGGGCAGATCTAGACCCAACAGAGCCCCTCACGCCTTCCTGCACTCACAGCGCTCGTGGATCTGGTGAAAACGCAGAGCTGCCTGGATAGTTCCGAGGTGCCCGAGTCAGCCCCGCAGGCCTGGCCCCTTGTCTGTGCTGAGGCTGGGTTCTGGGACCCCAACTTGGAAGAGGGGACGGACACTCTGGATGCTGCCCATCCACCCAGGCAACCTTGTGGAGCTTGGAGCCCCCATGCCCCCAGGACAACCCTCAACCTCAGGGAGTCAGGAGAGACGCGGCCTCGCCTAGGTCCTTGTCCTCCTCAGGCGATGCTGAGGCGCGTCCCCGCGGTTTCTCAGGGGCCCCCAGCCAGACTGCACCTCAGGTACCCACAAGGGTAACCTCCACATCTGGGCCTCACTGGTTTCGTCCCTCCTTGCCTCGGTTTGCCCACTCTTCCCTCGCGCTTCTTGGCATCACCTCCCAAATAAACTACCTGCACCCTCGCCTGGTCCCAGGTCAGCCTTTGGG